TAGCGTTTTAATTTTGGTTTGTTGTACAAAACTGTAGGCCTGTACCATTGCATCACAAATAAGCACAGAGCAAATTGCCAAACAACATTAAGCCAGTGGAGAACCAGGAACTAATTGTAAAGGGAAAATATTCAACATATTAGCAACATACAAAATAAATATTGCAACTGGGTTTACCACAACCCCGAAAATGCATACAAATATATGATGTGATATCACGATCAGTACGGAAAGATAGATAACTTCACACTTACCATCTGTACATAGTCCAGCCAACCTCCAGTACTTCAATAGAAAATCCCCTTTAGCAGAATTAACAAAAAGTATTGGATCAAATTTTAGCTCAAGACAGGAAAAGTGAAGAGTATTCTGACATGAGTACATTTAGTAATTAGAAAAACTACGTCAACATAAGTACGTTATACCTGCCATATCATCTCCAATGACACTAATCATGAGTGGTTGAGTCCCAAGCTTAGCCATGCACTCAGCAATATTTCTAGCTACTCCCCCACCGATGTACTTAACCTATGAAGTTCAAATACTTCATCAAATGGTATTCGATTCAAACTTTTCTTGTTATATGACAGAAATAATGAAAGCACGCAAGCTATATGCCTCGACCTAAGGATGAATAACATGCATATAATATCAACCAAAATAGATAGGCGTTCAAAATAATTACACATACATAATAACAAGGATGAAGTCTTTTACTAGTAACTAGTAAGAGATTAAATATGACAAAACTTGTAGTTTTTATGGACTAAGTTGGGGTAAAATTATCTGCAGATGCCGATACCTCATGATTGGCAGAAGTTCGGCCAAAAATCACGAAATCAACCAGTTCGGTTGGTCACAAGAAAAGGGTTAATTTTAGCTAATAAAATCACTCTAATTTGAAAATCTAAGGTTAAGAAATCTGTGGAAAAGCATTGTCTTCGGTGGGGGCAAAATATTTTTCGAAACCAAAAATTGTTTTGCCTGGTCAGACGAGGAATCTTGAGGTTTGCCAAGTTTACGGTTAGCACAACGACCAGACTAAAAGTGTGAAAGTAGAGACTTTTGCGATGGATCCTTGAAAACTCAAGCCCATAGTAAGAATATGTGAAGGGATATATCCTAGCAAAGCCTACTTTGACAGAATTAGGCTACTGGTCATGGCTGATCCAAACGTCGCACCGCACGCTTATACCTCACATCATTCAATCCAGCAAAATATCATGTGATCCAAGCTATCAATTGGTGAAAATGAGGAGTGTGTTTTAAAGCAAGATGGTGATTTACCATCCCAGGAACGGTGGTGCCAGGATGTGACGGCACGGATGGCTTCGCGTGGATGTCCAGCACCATTCCGCCGATGATCACCGGGCTCTGTCCTGCCTCCGGGGCGCTTAGCTGATTCTGAGCACGAAATGGGACCGATTAAGCAAGACATGATACGAGTGAGTTAGGAGGGGACTTAGTGGGATGGCAGGTTGGGGCCTCTAAGAGATAGCTCGTACCAGGCTAAGGACGGGCGGAGGCCGAGGGAGGAGATGGCGGCGGACGGCCTCCATCCTCCGGCGGGAAGACGAGGCGGCGGCGTCGGTCATGGTGACGGCCGAAGGCGTCGAGATGAAATTTCGGGCCGTGGGGAGTGGACGGGGAATTGGGAATAGCTGGATGATGAAATTGCAAAGAGGTACGTCTGTGGGGCGTTTGGTAGCCTCCATTCTCCTCAGGCCTCCACCACGTCCACCGAATGCAAATTTGGCTCGTTTGAATGTGCGTTTACTGTTTGATCTATATAACACAAATCTTTTTTTTTACGAACTATATAACACAAATCTTACAACACATCTCAGTTAGGCCCGTTAATAACGACTGAATTAGCCGATTTCTTTTAATCAAGCTCGCGGCATGCAGAGGAGGGGAACAATGCATCAAGCGATGTGCGCATTCCCGGAAAAACGGCAGGAGGAATTGGGTCACCTCCCGCCGAATCGGTCATCCTATTTACC